TCAGTTCTCTACGAACAGATATGATCAGTTTATGTTTGTTTTCTCTGAAAGAGCAATGGTCAATAAAATGTTTTTCCTTGCTTTTTTTCTGATAATTATCGAGTGTCGATCGCCTTGTTTTGTTTTGTTCCTGTCCAAGCAGACAAGAGTTTGGAAATATGCGTTTAGATGGTCAAAATCGAACCACGATCGTGATCCGTTCATGCGCACTATAAAAACTCAAGAAAAACGTCTTTAGCGTTTAATTTGCACTTTCAGAGCATGAAAATCGCGAAAAACTTCAGTTTTTCAGTTCTAAAAGGCGCTTTCATCCTAGAATTTAGCATCAATGCGTTTTCATACTCTTTTTTTTAATTTTTCACCTTTTTCATACACTTAAAGTGAGAATTGAGTGCAAAAAACGCGTTTCTCATGTTTTTCTGATGATCTTATGTATGGCAAAATCTTGGTTCGATGTCGAGTGTTTAAACACTTTCTTCAAATTTTTATCTGCTTGGGTTTTGTTCAAGTCAATATGGAATGAGAAATTAATGTTTCCTTTTTCACCATCATAAAATCAGAGATAGTATTCATTATTGCTACCTGTTGAGATGATCTGAAATCGAATAAGGCATGATAACGCGGAAAACTTTTTCGAAAAGAAAGAAACAAATTATGTTTTTTCTAAGCATCATGTAAACTTCGATATTTTTTGCTATAAGATAATTAATATGTATAATACTATAATTGATCTAAGAATGTTCTGGTATTTTATTTCAATAGTGCCTTACGAACTGTTCGCACCTGAAGCGCATTGTTTATCCGTCGATGGTTACAATTGTAGGGGCTGCCTTCGGAAGAAAATTTTTTCACAATGTGCTGCAATTTATATGTGGCGATAGTTTTCGTTTTTGAACGAAACTGTTACAGAGAGCGTTAATTCTCATGATTCCACAAAAAAGTTTCGTACCTAAAGTAGTGTTCGTTGCAAGAGCGAAGCCACTTTCTGAGACTTAGAACAAAATGAAGAAAGGTTTTAGTTCATGATTGTTTTCGAAAAGTATGATTAGGATAAATAGTCGCTAGCGTCAACACCTTTGGTGCTGGAAATGTTGAGAAATTTTTGTTGAAGTTTCTATAGAGACTTTATTCTTCGGACAACAGAGATCAAATTTATTTTTTTTTAATTGTGTAATGTGTCGTTGTATTGAAGATTTTTCTTTCATCATAAGCAGTGAAAAAAGTTACCAAGAAATTAGTCAGCAAAAAAAAATGTAAATACCTTCTAATCTTGAAAAACCTAATTGTCTTGTTCATTGTTTCTCTACTCATTGGCTTCTTTCATCGAACATATCCATATACTTTTATCATCATTTTTAAAGTTTCCTTCAAATGATACTCACTATCGAGCTGTAACCTATACACAGAAAATTCCACAGGGAAAACACAGAAATTCTTCGCTGTCTCAAACAGAAGCTACCCATGTAAAAAATTCGGATTAAAGTAAGATTGAATTAGATGATAATCATACCTTTTTAATCAATTTTAATTTGACTTTAATCCTAACTTCTTTCCATCGATGGTTGTATGCCTCATCGCCGAAAGCGATATCGCCGAAAAATAACATCGCCGAAACTCGCGCCGAAACAAACATTATCGAAAAGAAAGATCGCCGAAATCAAGATTAACGAAATACAGATTGTCGATACAAAGTTCATCGAAATGCAGATCGCCGAATTCATTTCGATCATCTACTAGCTTATTAGAGTTAGCACTGAATCAAGTTCGTGACTAATTTCACGCGGTTTCTAAGTAAAGCTAGTAGCTGACATGGTCAACTTGACCCCTAACTTGATCAAGTTAGTCACTACCTTGATCTCTAACTTGATCCAGTTAGTCACTGACTTGATTCCTGGCTTGATCAAGTTAGTCACTAACTTGGTTCCTAACTTGATTTCTAACTGATTGTATCACTCACTTAAGTTAGTTGTTAACTGGTAGTTCGATCATTTGCATAAAAATTGCCCCATAGTTATATCGCCAACAGTGACACCGCCGAAAATACAGATACTCGATAGTCACATTGCCGAAATGGTACTTTATCGAAATACAGTTCACCGAATTTCGGCGATCTGCATTTCGACGAAATGACTTTCGGCGAAGAGCATACTGACCGCATCGATACCTTGGAAAACTTTTTTTATACCCTTCTCTCCAAAGTTTCAAGGGTCGGGCAATCCCTAATAATATTTTTCATTGTAAATATAAAAAAGAATATTTAACATTTGCTTGTTATCTTCGTTCCAATAGTTTCGAAAACTAGAAGTGCTTGTTAAAGACGGTGGCGCATAAAAGACTAATTTAGCTCATTCGACTTGTTTGTAACTACAGCAGTTAGATTAAATCATCTACAAAGTGAAAGAATTTGAATCGTGAGTACTTTTAACACTAAATCTAGAATATTTCAGCGAAATTTCGAAACAAACACTCGTTCAGCTGGATAAGTACAAATTGAATCATTTAACATTGCGCCTCTATGGACAATGTGTGTTCTAGTCTAAAGAGACAATAAAACGACAGAAAATTGTTCAATATCGATTTTATCGTTCGTCATTAGGGTTAGGCTTTTATTAATGAAACGACTGACGAAATTCATCAGCCTACTTCATACTAAAGACCATATTGAATGCGATGAACTAAAATCTTAGTTTATTTGAATGTTCTGAGACATTCTTTTTTCTGACAATAATCGTGTTTCAACATCCGGTGTAGGTCATTCAATAGTGTTTTCCTGAATCTTTAGTTAATTATGCCATATTTATTCAAAAAGAATATTCGAATTTCATCAATTACGTAGTCATTTCATGCTCATAGTACTAATTAAGCTTCATACGGACTTCAAACTACTTTCATTTAGATATCCTTCTCTGAATGAAATTATAGATGAAGCTAAAGCGTCTCGATATGCTTCGATGATATTGACAAGAATACATAAATAACAACAATTAGTCATTTTAAAATCGTCGTTGAAATTACTGAAATGCTTCAACGACATATGAACATTTATTGTTCACTTTGTCATTTTCGATCGGAGGACCGGCCAAGCTCTTTTTTCAATACTTTAGAATTTTATTGTTTCCTTTGATCTGATCTTGTTTTTTCTTTGAGATTTACTTGAAGAAGAGGACTTTCTAAACTCCATTGATAAACATTCATCAAGCACATCGCATTATTATTGATCTGAATGAATTGTTCAAAGTCCATCTCAATATTCAAATAAATAGATATCATATGGAATCTTAAATGTTTTTGCTTGCTTCATATTTTTGGAGACAAGTTTTCTATGGAAAATAATTAAAGTATTGTTGTATGAAAAAACGGGTTACCGGAACTTCGCCAATAGGACATTCGCCAATGGCGAAAGTACACTGTACTTTTGCCAATTGGTGAGATTCCAGGAGATATATTGGCGAAAGTACAGTGGACGTTCGCCAACAGTCACGAAACAATATTAATATAGGATAGATGTAAGGACTGAAGCTAGTGTTGTTAGAAAATATGTATCATAGCGTACACTCAGGATGTGGGCGAATATGAGCGAGTCATGCTTTTAATTAGAAAAAAAGCGAGATTAATATGAAAAGAAAGATAAATAAAGCGTGACCTAATGTTCATCTGACAACAAATCTGATAATTCTGATTTGGAAACGTTATTCTTCTTTTTCTTTCATTTCTTTCATGACAAACAAATGCGCCAAAAAGATGACTAAAAGACTTGATTGTATCAGCTAATGGTCTTGTTTTCAGCTCGAAGAAGTGCAACAGTTTTTCAGTCTGTTTAGTTTTATCTGATGCTTCGCGCGTCGATTGTTTTGGTTGAACAGAAGAAAACCTAGTGCGGTCAAAATCGTTTTATGAGATATTACATTTTCTTCTTGGTTTAAGCATTGAACGAATCTCCACACATTTGTGTATGGCTTATGGCTACGGCATAGACGAACATCATCTATTAGTGTAGTCCAGAGCTCGAAACGGGCCACTTTTTTATGGCCCGGTCCGGTCCAAAGGAGGTCAAAAGTATTGCGCGCCCGCCCGGCCCGACTTCTAACGGCTACAGCCCGGTCTGACCCGGCCCATCAAGTTTGCTGGTCCGCCCGGCCCCGCCCGGCTGAGCCGGATGAAAATATTTTTAACAAACATTTATACGGAATTGATCTTAAAGATCAACGCCGTACTTCGAAAAAAATCTTTATAGAACACACCACAGATTAATTGATAAATTTAATGAGATCAGATCATTGAAATGATAACATAAAGATAAATTAACAAGTATAATGATCATACAAAAATAAATAAACAGATTGTGCATATTAAAAAGCTATTGGTTTATTGTGCTGTCTAACAAAAGTTCGATAGAAGTGGCTATGACAAAGTTTTATAATCATTACTCGATCTGGATCTGATGACATTTACAAAATTTCATAAAAGAAAAAAATAGAATTGTGTCGGGCCGGGCGGCCTGACAAAATTGACGACCTGCCCAGTCCAATGGACTTCTTTGGTTGACCCGCCCGGCCCGGTGAAAAACTTTCTTCGGACCGGACTGGTCCACGTTGGACCGGGCGGCCCGTTTCAAGCCCTCGTGTAGTCGATAGAAAATTTTTAATCCATATTTAATTCACAATAAAATTGGTGAAAGTTCAGGAAGTGTGTTGGCGAAAGTCCACTGTACTTTCGCAAATTGGCGAATTTCCAGGGGATATATTGGCGAAAATCTTATTGGTGAAGTTCCGGAAACCCGAAAAAATATTACACAAAATATCTTGTATTCTCTCTATTTTATGAACGTCATTTCAACGAGACGCGAATTTATCAATAAATCGTAGATATTAAAGAGATCATTCTATACATTATATGTTAAATAGAGCATTACGAATAATCCTTAGGCAGACTTAGAAGAAATATTTTTCTTCTAATTATAATTAAAAATAGATTATTCTTCGACAAAATTTAATCTATTTTCACTTACTAGAATATTGTTGTCTTAATTGTAAATAAATCAAATGTTTATTTTTCTTGCAATCATATTCAGTTTTCGTAACACGAAAACAAACACCTGGTGTAATAAGTTCTTCTTCTTCTTCCGGATATTCAGATATTCCACTTAAATCAGCAGTAAAAGCAAGTTTTACTTGCATAATAAATAAAGTATTTCCAAATTCTTCTGCTTTCTCACGATTTCGACTACAAGACGTAAATGCTTGAAATGATTGATATTGATATTGATTCAAACCATCGCTCATTTGTTCATAATTACTAATCTGTGCTGATGTTAGATTTGCTCCTCGATAAAGTGTTTTACTAGTTTGTGGTTTTTTATTCAATGGATCATCCCAAAGTAATAAGCAAAATGGACCCAATGTACAAACTTTACTTCTCCAAACTTGTTCTTGTTCTTGGTCTCCGACTAATCTCATGGTCGCATTTAATGTTTTATAGAGAAAGCTTTCTAATGAATAAAGATAAGCACAACATTTCCATACTTCGCCTATTTTTTTATCTTTTTGTTCTCTTAACATATTTGCTAACTCTTTACCTTCTTGTTCTTTTTTAAGGTATTTACCCTCTTGAATAATACCTTCTGCAGCTCTTTCAACAAGTATTGGGATTAGTTCTGGTTTTTTCGAAGGTAAGTCAGCTGGTTGCAATTTTAAATATTTTCGAACTTCGATGACAAATGCTGAAACCCAACCATATTGACCACTGTATGTTCGTTTTGAACTAATAGGAAGATCCATAAATCGTTCTTCTCGTAAGTGTTTATCTTCTCTTTGTCGTACCATTCGTTTTACAGGCCTTTGCTGATTTTCATCAAAGGTCGATATTTGTAAATTTGCTTTAAAATCAATATAATATTCATCTAATAGTGCTTGTGCTTCACCGTTTGAATAGGCTCTTTCGATGATAAGATTTTCTACATCCGAGTAGCGACTCCATTCAGCTGGCTCAGTGTTCGACCATGGATCTGGCTTCGATTTACACATCCATTCTGTATTTTTTAAGAAGTTGTTGCGTGTTATTACTTCTGTATTGCCCATGATGCTTACTGATGTTTTCTTTCTCTCTGAGCTCAACGATAGAAAAATACACTCGTTAGTTATCAATTATTTTATGAATATCTGAAAAATCCAAGTAACAAATAAGAAACAAAATTACAGTGAATTGAATCGGAAAACAGTACGGGGATATGACTCTTGACATTGGATTAAATCTAGAACTTTCATTAAGTTATTTGAATTTTCATCAAGCTCTTTGAAACCTTTTTAGCTTTTTTCAAAAGAATTTTGAATAACTATAATATTTTTCGAAGACTTGAAATGCTGTTTTTTGTTTCAGAGGTGAAAATTTTTTACTTTATTTTCGTTTCTCGACCATTTCTACAGATTTTTGAGTTTCATTCGATACGAAAACTTACAAACATGACAATGATTGATTCGAAACATCCCGATAATGATGTACAAAACATGAGCAATATTTATCGAAGCTTTCATTATTTTTATTTTTTTTTCAGCTTAAAAATCTTCTCAAATAAATCTTTGGATTTTCTGCGTAAAAAAACAAAGATTAAAAGTCGACAAAAGAATTTTATTCAAACAAATAAACAAAACTAAGCATTTTAAATTGTTCTTCGAGAATTCAATCACATCAAATTTTATTTTTATTTAATTGATAATATTTATGACTTATTGACTTTTAACTTTCAACTAACACAAAAGTCAAGGGTGTGGGTGTGGTTGTGTATGGGTGTGGGTGTGAAGAACGGAATGACTGTTTAAGTGTGGGTATATACGTGGGTGTGTGGGTGTTGGTGGTGGTGTGAGTATGAAGGGTGGAATGACTGTTTAAGTGTGGT